CCCGGGAAGCTACAAAGCAGCTCTGTATCCCACCTCTCCTTTGTTAAATAGAATATAACTTCAGTAATAAAATAACAATTCTATCTCCCCGTCCCTACTTCACAAGCCTGCCCTGGATTCCTGGACTCAAGCATTCTGCTTCTTGTTAAGAATTTCAAACGACTCCTCCGAAAGCAGACACTGGCCGTGGTCCAACCTTCAGATGAAAAGCACTCCGGCTTCTGAAGGCTTCCCCTCTCTCTTAGTGTTCCCTGTCCTTGTGGCCATCCTGATAGGGGCAAGTAGAGAGAAGCGAACCCCTCAAATTTCATTTTAACACCCATTCTGGATCGGAAGACCATTAAAGGGAGAGCCGGCGGCCCTACACCGCTGCTGTGTGTCAGCAATTGCTGCTGTGTCCTGGGGCAGAGCCGCCGAGGATGGAAGGCTGAGCTGCTCATCCCATGGTTTGATTGACACTTCGCAGACAGGGGTGGGAGAGGCAAGCCCGGGAAGCAGCAAGCTGTACAGTTCAGAAATAATGAGAGGACCGAATCGTGAGAGAGAGAGAGCATGGAATAAATAAGAGAGACCTAGGAGTTGAATGACGAGGGACAGGCTTCTGTTCTTTCCTCTGCACCTCTTTGCCAAGCAGCTAGAGCCTGGAGCAAGGAGACAGGCAGGCTGACCAGGGAGCAGCCCCCAGGGAACTCTCCTGCCAGCTGCTGGGGGTGTTTGGGGCAGAATGAGCAGAGGATGTCCATGTGAGAAAACCAAGAGCGCAGAGTTAGATCTGTTCACGGTCACCATGCACATTTCAGACCCATGGCATGTCTCAGCTTTCATCCCTCTCCTGCATCCCCAATCCCTTCATCATCCATCTGCCTTCCTTCTCCTAGATTCCTGCATTAACCTCACAGCCAGTCTCCACCCCATTCTTGCCCCTGTTAATCTATCCTTCCATGTTCCTGCCTGAATCCTCTCTTTAAACAGCCACTCTGAACAGGTCACTCCTCTTCTGAAAATTCTTTAATAGTTGCCTGTTTTCTATTAGGATAAAATCGCGGCTTCTTAGCCTGGCACACAACGCGGTAGGCGTTCTGGCCTCTGCCCCTGCAGTTCCACCACGGTCCGTTCTCACTGTGCTCTTCAGGCCCTGGCAAGGCTGAGCTGAGAGAGGTTCCAGCACTCTCTGTGATGATTCCAAGTCCCCCACACACCCGCACACCAGCTCGGATGGCCTCTCTCCCACGGTCCCTTCCGACCCTGTCTACGTCTCCATGATGACAATGAGCAGAGAATATTTCAATTGTCTGCACATCTGCCTTCGCCCTCAGCTCCCTAAAGAGAAGGGTCTTCTTTGATTGTCATTTTTTATAGGTAATACAGACACAGTGAACAACAATGAAAAAGTTCAAAAGAAAACACTACAAAAAGGAATTTTCCTTCCCATCCTATCCTCAGCCATTTCCTACTCCTCATTATAGGCAATACTCTTACTATTTTCTTTTGTATGCTTCCAGGGATGTTCTGTAGGTATACAGACATACTTACATGGTACATTCCTTTTTATTTTTTTTTTTTAATCTCAGAATTAGCATACTATACCACACCTTGCTGTTTCCATTTCCTATATCTTGGCTCCCACCTGAGTCATCCTGGGGTGGTACATTCCTGCTGATGGCTACCTAGTATTCCCTGGTGTGGAGAAGGCATGTGGGATAGAAAAGCACCCACACATGTCTGTTGAATTGATGGTGGGTTTCTTTGCTCTTCCAGGCACCTTAGACATGTGGCTCTCTCAGTTCAGTTCAGTTCAGTCGCTCACTTGTGTCCAATTCTTTGCGACCCATGGACTGCAACAAGCCAGGCTTCCCTGTTGATCACCAACTCCCGGAGTTTGCTCAGACTCATGTCCGGTGAGTTGGTGATCCCATCCAACCACCTCATCTTCTGTCATCCCCTTCTCCTCCTGCCCTCAATCTTTCCCAGCATCAGGGTCTTTTCTAATGAGTCAATTTTTCGCATCAAGTGGCCAAAATATTGGAACTTCAGCTTCATCATCAGTCCTTCCAATATTGAGGATTGATTTCCTTTAGGATCGACTGGTTTGATCTCCGGTGTTAGGTGTTTAGGGAGGTGAGAGATCTGTTCTAGACTGGCCCAACAAGGTTTATCAAAGGCTGACAGTGTCTTCTGTGAGATGCTGAGCACAGTACCCTCCTTTAGGCCAGGAAGTAGGTTGTGGAATCCCTAGAGACCTTAACTTCTGCTTCCTGCCATGTCTTTGTTTTGTGTTTGTTGAATAGCAAATATTAGGGTCAACTCTGCTCCCTCAAGATATGAGTTGGATTGCTAGGCAGTCTCCAGGGGAGGGAGGAAATAAGGAAAGTCCTGGGAAATGAGGCTGAAACCTCTGAGACAATATTAAATCATCATTTAGCCTGAGCACTGGGGATCTACCTGTAAACGGATGCTCTCAGACCTCACTGGGACGAGAGGAAATGCAGTAAACATGAGGGAGGATCGGTTTTCATTGTCTTAAGGGACAGCATCCCTGAAGACAAATGATGGAATCTTCTTAATCTTGTTTCAAGGCCTTTCTATCCAAGCTCTATACAATTTGTTGTTGTTGTTGTTGTTATTTAGCTGCTCAGTCATGTCCAACTCTTTAGCGACCCCATGAACTGTAGCCTCCCAGGCTCCGCTGTCCATGGGATTCTCCAGGCAAGAATACTGGAGTGGGTTGCCATTTCCTCTTCCAGGGGATCTTCCCAACCCAGGGATCGAACCAACATTTCCTGCATTGGTAGGCGTGTTCTATTGCACACTCATCTGACTGTGGTGCTCTAAGATATACCCAAGTGTTCATTAAGCTGTCTTTACAGATGATGTATCTGAATGGGTATATTTCCACCGCAAGGGTTTTAGAGAAGGTTCAATTAAAGCTGAGCCGATGTTGAGGCAAATGACAAAGAGTGCTGAGAGGATTTCCCTGGTGGTTCAGTGGTTAAGAATCTGCCTGCCAATGCAGGAGACATGGGTTCCATCCCTGGTCTGGGAAGATTCCACCTACTGAGGGGCAACTAAGCTCGTGTGCCACAACTATTGAAGCCCACGTGCCCTAGAGCCCATGCTCTGCAACAAGAGAAGCCACGGCAGTAAGCAGCACAGCTAGAAAAGGCCCACTTGCAGCAACGAAGACCCAACAAAGCCTAAATAAATAAAATGTAAAAGTTTAAAAAACAACAACAACCCAGTGCTGCTCCTTGGACATGAGGGTATGTCTGGAATGGAGACTGTATGTGAACCCTCTGTCAGGAGTCTCCCCTTCCTCTCTCTTTCATGTCTTTCCCATGCTTCATATCCTGGATATCAGGAAAACTCTGGAGTGGCGAGTTGCAGAGAGGAGTGAGAACTGAGGGCAGGAAAAGAAAAGTAGCTTTCACATGGTTTGGGCTGGCTTGACAGGTGACAAATAGCAACTAAAATTCAGTAGCATGCAGGAAGATTAACTCCAGGGGTTCAGCTCTCTGGTAGTCTCCAGTTTTCAAGTAGATTTTGTCTTCCCCTCTCCCACCTCTGCAGATGGTGCTGTCTGTTAGGGAAGGTCGATGAATAGGGGAGCTCAGGTCCTCTCCCACAATATACTGCCAGATGTGGGCTCATAGAGGCACAACATCAGAGGGAAGTCTAAGGAAGGGAAGAGAAGCAGGATTCTGGAGAGCAACTTCTCAGTCATCATCAATCCCCATTTCTGCTTGTTGCCTCCAGACTGCCCCCCTGGAGCCAGTCTAGCCCATCTCCTGAGCAATAATGCCTGCAAGATTCATCTCTTACTCTGCTTTCTTTTCTATTTTTTAATATTTATTTATTTTTGGTTGTGTCGGGTCTTCGTTGTGGCACACAGGACCTTTTGGTGGGATGCGCGCAGGCTCTGGTGTCCACAGGCTCAGCAGCACATGGGCTTTGTCGCCCCGTGGCATATGGGATCTTAGATACCTGGCCAGGGATTAAACCTTCATCCTCTGCATCAGAAGGTGGATTCTTAACCACTGCACCAGCAGGAAAGTCCCTCTTACTCTGCTTTCTCACTGGTTCTTATTCTTCCATTCATTTATCTGTTTCTGCCTGGGCCTCCTTTCTTCCTTTGAGATCAAGAGTGAAAGAGAGGTTTGAGGGAAGGCCTTTGTGGACAGATGGTATGATACCAAGACCTGGCTGGAGGAGAGGTCTCGAGGCGGTGAAAGAGGGAAAGGGGACTAAGGGAGCCAGGGAATCTAGGGTACCAAAGCCACAGGGCTCCTCT